TGCTGAACAGTGGAAAGGGGCAAATCCATTTGTCAATTTTTGCATGAGCTCCTAAATTCACCAAGAGAAGTGCTAAGAGATGTCAAATTGTATTCGCTTTAATAACGTCCAAGGAACAAGTGAGGAGGCAGCTTCAATAATGTCCATTTTTCTCATTTTAATCACTGAACAAGCCATTTGATTCTGGCAACAGTGACTATGTTTCTGGATAATGGAGATAATGATAATTTTAACCCAGTAACAACAGTGCTATTGATGAAGCCTCAGGCAGCATTTGCATGACACAAATTAAGTAGCACGGTCCATTGGGAATTATTTCTCATTTGGATGAGTATATGAACTTTAATCTTCGTCTCCTTTTGGTCCATTTCAAAGCTGTGCCAGTTACGATACCAGGGAGCTGAACGCCACACAATTCGCTGAAATCCATAGTAATGGAGCATTCACCTTTTCATAAGAAACAATGAAGAATCCCAAAAAAGAAACCGATTGCCATTTGTTTGCAAAGTATAACGTGAAGTGCAGAGTCTGAAGATCAAGCCAGCTTCAAAATAATCTTAAAATTATGGCCAGTTGGTGACTTTGACACTTAGGATTCAAAAATGTATATATATATATATATTTTAACTGTAACATTTACATAACAGAACAAGAAAATCAATAAGATGCTGCACTGCTGTAAAAAACTCTACATGGCTTTTATTAGCGGGCTATCTTGTTACACCAAATCATTTGTACATTATCAAACTGACAGAGCTGGCAAAACAGGAACATTCTCTTGTAACAAGAGAAGCCAACGTGTCTACATGCACGGCAGAGCTGGAACTAAAACTCAGATTGTGCAACTATCTTTATCTGGCTTCAATTAGCATGTCACAGAAACAACCTTCTAGAAATTGGCCACACGTTTTAATTTGTTTTTTCTTTCATTCTGTAGAATGAGGCATTCACAGCACAGAAAGAAGCCATTCGGCTCATATCTGTCCAGTGCTAGTTTCCATTACTGTAACTATATGCTCAAATCTACATATTTGCCTGTTCAGGTCGACATTAAAGATCCCACTATTTAAAAAGAGAAGGAAATTTCACTCAGTGTCCTGGTCAACAATCCCCAAAAAATAAAATTGGTCATTCACTTCGCCTACAAAATATAGTCATTATATAGTTATCACAGTAAATCCTGTGAAGCACTTTCAGATGTCCTCCTGACTTGAAAGGAGCTTTGCCAAATGCAAGGAGTATTATTTAAATTTATTTTCTCTGCTCTTTCCTTAAGCCCATAAAATTATTTTTCTTGAAGTATTTATCCATTTCCAATGTGCTGTTGTAGACTCGGCTTAAAAAGTAACTTATGATAAAGCTTTCCATGCTCCTCAACCATTTTATAAGATAAATGTCTTCTAACCTCCCTCTTTTTTCTTCTGGTGGTAATACATAATTTATAGCCTCTCTTTGATCTAAAACATTCATAATTTTGAAAACTTCAACAACATTACCCCTCTCCCCATATGCTCTGAAGAAGAAACCATTTTCAAGTGTCTTCACAGAACTTCACAGACTGTGGAGTCCTGTAGCTCAGTGGTTAGAGCACTTATCTCACAAGCGAGAGAGAGATCTGGGTTCAATTCCCGGCAGGGCGAAATATTGGGCAAGTTTCCTTACTCCACACCCCTGTTTACCTCGCAGTAAGTAGGAACTCAGTTGTTAGTCGATTGGTGGCATGCTATTCCTGGGGGTAATAATTCCTTAAAAAATAATAAAATTGGTCACTCAACCCACTGCTGTGCACAATTGGCTGCTTTGTTTCACCCATAAAATAGACAGTCAATTCACTTTACAGTATATTCTGTGAAGCGCTTTGAGAAGTCTTGAAGATGTGATAAGGTGCTATATCAAATCCAAGGATTATTATATTATAACAACTTTTCAACCTTGGTATCATGATGAATCTCTGCTGTACCCTCTCCATGGCCATACTATAATGCAGTGCCTAACATCGAACCCCAAACTCCACTGCGCTCTAATCAATACCTTGTGCAAATTTAACATGACTTCCTTATCCCTGTATGCAATGCCCTAATGTAAAATCCACAAACTGTTTGTTATAAATTTCTGGTCCCATTATTTTATAGTCTTGCACACTCACTCTATCCGTTCTCCAAAGCCTCTCTGCTCCTGCACTCAATTAATAATATTACCATTTGAGACTTGGAGTCAAATTTGAGGGATTCCAAAACATTCCATTTCTCATTTAGGGAATGTATTTAGGAACCCTAGCTGGTGGTAACCCTCTCCAGACTAGTGGTTTGCTCCCCTCGGGGTCTGAGTGCCAAAATTTTGCTTTGACTATGAGGCAAGCAATCTTTTTTGGAAACTTTTGGCACTACATTGGGCTCTGTTAATTTTGGGGACTTCAGGTTTTTTCCCCCCAGCACTTATCTGTCTGGACAGGCTGATATCACTTTTCTAGACCAAAATGATCTTAGCAATTGGCCCAGAAGCTTCATACCCTGCCCACTCGATTGCTAAGATTCACTGTCAACATTTCTGAGGATTCAGATCCTGACTTTAGTAGCTGTACAACTGGGTAAGGTGGATACCTACTTCAGTGTCAGAGAATACCAATCGAAGTTGGTCTGCAAACCAGTAGACCTGTGGTGAGAATGGAGGGATGCACACAACTGGATGAAGCAAGCTGGATAACTGATTCTGATAACACTTTCCCCAAATATCTCTGCTGTTTTCCATTAAAAAGTGTCACTTGATCCTACATCAGAGATTTCCATTTCTCTCTATCAGAGTTTCAGTTCACAAAAAAAATCTGAGATTTTCAGTTCATTGTATTGAAAGTTTCCAGATAGCATTGGAAGTGGTGCATATCTGAACTAGCTTGTTCAATATAATTTTTTTTTAATTTTAGCCCTAGTTTATTATTAATAAGGCACAATTAATTCATTCGTGAACATTTACTTCCCAATGTCAAAATAAAGAACTGCATCAAGGTTTCAGAGGAAAGTTTTTGGGAGTAACTAAATCCATATTTGATGGGTTCAGCAGATTATATACCACACAATGAAGTCCTGGAATCCAGGCACTTTGAAACTTTGAATATTCAAAATGGTTAAAGAATGTGTGTGAAAAGATCGTGTGGTCTCCCCTGGGGGTTATTGGGACTGGGGGTGGGGCAAGATTTACAGAAAACACAGCCGTCTCCTCCATTCCAAATGCATATTTCAAAGCACCAGACATGGTGACAAAAGGTGCTAATTTCAAATGTCCAGCAAGATGTAGTCTATGGGACGTCAGTCAGTTGGGAGGAAGTTTATTATCTTCCTGGACAATGATGTGAGGTATCTACAAGCCCCAGAGCTTGTGGAATGAGGGAAGGAAGAGAAGGAAAGTAGCAATCAGCAAAGCAATACAGCTCCCCTACAGCAGGCACTGTATATACAGGGCTCCCCTACAGCGGGCACTGTATATACCGGGCTCCCCTACAATGGGCACTGCATGTACCGGGCTCCCTACAGCGGGCACTTAAGTGTCTGATACACATGGAAGCCCATCACCATGCTTAAGAAAATCTAGCTGGACTGAGAGTTCCATGTATGCCACCTACATATGGAAATTTCCATGCATGGAATGGAATCCTCACTCTCTTCCTCGAGGGACACATCCTGCCTTACCTAATTCTGGAGAATATTAGGTGCAGGTTGGCAAGAGCTAAGTCTTGGGGATTTCAGAGTATGCACTGGGGTAGCGCTCGAGTTTCACCAGCAGAAACCGAGAGCAATGAAAACTGAGAGCAATGCCTGGTAAGCTTTCCCGCTGCTTGTCCTATTATCAGTTAGGGCTTTGGCTTGTAGGGTGAACAGAAGAATTCCCACCCCTGTGACGGTCTGCCTTCCAAGTCTTGACGATGAGCCAGGCTGGCTGGGCTGTCATCAGCAGTGCCCTGGTGTACTGCGAACCCACCTGGATCAGGAACTGGACTACTGAAACCACAACAAAGGACTGACTAAATTCTGACATTTCTTTGCGAAGGTTGGCACCTTGGAGCCAGTTCAGCTCCAAAGAGACTTTGCTTCAACCCTCCACCCAATAGTGGGCACCTAACAGACACTTACAGTGTAACTCCCGTTACAAGCACAGAGTCACTACAACAGGCACTTTGCAGGTTTGGCAGCTTTGCTGTGGACATACCAGTTTACCTTTTGAGATTGATCTTTGAGACCTAATAAAGAAAAGCTATCTCAGTATCGCGCAGATAAGAAGCATTTGAGTAACAAACCACTACTTGAATAATTAGTTTTTGCTTTAGGCAAAACGAGTCACATCTTGTTCAGCATCACCTACCAACTCTATTGCATTTACAACAAAAGCCACTTACAAAACCTTTTGGAATGCATGCTTGCCTCTATCAAATGCACACGCACACACATTCTGTGTACAAATGGAGAGCACTCTCTCGCAAGACTACACAGTAAGTTAATATATAATTAAGCTTCAATTCAGGGGCACATGCTGAGGTCCTTTAATGCACAAGATTATAAAAACAGTCTGAATTAAACAAATTTCCGACATCTGTAATGTTCCTTGCAACCTCTATTTTAAAAAAAAGAAAACACGTTAAGTATTAAAAGCCACAAAACGACAGTCCAGCGAAGCCTCTGAAACTCAGAAAGTTAATTCCGAAATCTAGGACTTAAAACCACGAAGCAATAAACATGCACAAATAGGAGAAATGTTCCTCATTTTAAATCAGTTGCAAACACTGCTTGGAAAAAAAAGCCAAATCAAATGCTTATGGTTAACTGAATAAATATAAAAGGTTGAAACGGTCTTTTGACTCATTTCATGCTTATTCTCGAAAACAATCCAACTATTATCCCTGTCCTTTTCAACAGGTAACAAAGCAGCTCTGTTTTCCAGCAGTTTGCAGCCAGACAGCAAGACAGCACTGAATCCTGAATGCGCCTATTCCAATGTATTCTCTCTCTTACCTTGTAGACTGAACACCAACAGGAGACTGAGCACAGCAAGTGGGATTGAAGCCGGGTGATCCATAAAATAAAACTGAAAAGTTCCTGTTGGTTTAAAAACACAAATGCTCTAAATTCCACTTTTCTTCCCCCCCTCCCAAAAAAGGAGCAAAGATTTCTTCTCCCCAAATAAAACAGACTTATGTTTTTTCCCCTGCTTTGTTTCCTTTCTTCCTTCTCTTTCTTCTGCAGTCCTGACTGAAACTGCTTTTGACCACACTCCTTGTGGAAAAAAAATGCAGGATCTGCTTTGAAGGTCTGGGCCTTTCCAAAAGAGATTCTTTAGCAATTATCCAGACTGGGATTGCTGGCCAAACACCCTGAGGGGAGCTAAGAGTTTTATACTGGGCCAACAGGGAAGGGGCGGGGGTGCAGGGCTTCACTGCAGGACTGCTGCTGCTGTACTTAAGTCTGCAAAGTTCTCATGGCTTTGTCTCTTTAACCCCCGAGACAAACATTTTATAGGGATATTGAATTCCAGGACCATCAATCAGAGTTACCATGTTCTATGTTTTCTGTTAATTTAGGCAGATAACGCAGAGAAGAATTGCAATTGAAGCCGCGTTGGAAACGCCACAAGGAACTCGTCTTGTGAGTGGACTGGGTAGCTCAAACATGGTGAAAAGGCTCACCAGCAATCATCATCGTGGGCTCCGCTCCCCGCATGGCTCAGCTGGTGAATACGATGCGAGAACAGATCAGAAAGGTCTTGGTTCAATTCGTGAGCTGTGGTGATCTCAGCGCACCAGTAGGGCAACTGTGATTGGGTTTTGCATCCCTGGATGAGGAAAGCTATAAAGTGAGCCAGGTTTGCTAATTACTGTACAGTAAGCAATGCTGGAAAGTGCCACATGGTTGAGGACAAGATAACCTTGAAAGGTTGGGATAATCTCTTTTCCTGTCACTGATCGTCAAGCAGCTTGTCGACACAGACAAAGTGAAGCCCAATTGGTAATAAGGGTCTGCATGGCTCTAGGTTCCAATTTTAATTTTTATTCTGCTCTCTGCACTGCTTTGAGCTCAATGGTCCTCACCCTCCTTTTTTCGTTCTTGTGAACCACAAAGTTGAGAAGCTACACCACATTGTTACCATTGACTGCCATCTGACAACACTTTTGGAGCCTAATTACCAAGTGTGTCTTCGAGAGCATGGTTTCGCTTCCTGCTCCTTACCCTCCCTTCACTGGCAGACAAGAGGAGTGCGACTGGTATCAGTCGGAAACCCTTTTAAATCCACATGTGACAAATTGGGAACAGAGTGGAGGCAGCAGGAAAGCGTATGAAAAGTCCCACTCTCTGTTCAGGGAGGTTCCAGTGAAGTCAATTTCAAATGAGTCAGAAGTTAGGATGCGATGGCCACTGCCCTGGCTGAGATCAGCTAACACATCATAAATCAAGAATTGAACCCAGGTACCTCTCTGGTCTATATACAAAGTCGTCATTTAAATTAGATACTGTGTGTGTTCCCTGTTCCAGAGTATGTCTTTGGGGCTGATACGCTGCTGGTCAAATTAAAAGAAAGCTCAATTGCTCAAACAAATTAAGTATTTGAAAGAAGATTGTGCACAATCTGTCTTATCTCAAGTGCTTGAGAGCTCATTACTCTTCAACCTTGGTCAGAGATCATCAATAAACTTTTAAATGGGGTGTAAATGTAACATGCGGTTTTAAGTAACAATTGGAATTTCTTGTAGATTCAGAGCAACCTTTGAAAAAAGATTACAATTTCCTGTTATTTTGCAACATAATGGGTGAAACAATTAAGAGCCATCAGGGACTTTCTCAAGAAAATTATTGACAATTCTGAATGAGGCCCCTGAAATTTCTGGAACTGTTTTCAGATTGAGATTACAGCCAAATCTATTTTATATGTGTTTGAGAATCCTGCCCAGGTTAAATTAAATTTGAAGAAGTGAACTTGAACCATGAAAGCTTTGTTAGTGAAGATAACCATCATCTATTGAAAAGAAAGCATGATGCCATATATATATCAGCTGAGTGTTGAGGAATCACAAATCTCTGGCATGATTAGATCTGTTGTTTTCTTTAACAGAAATGTCTAGATTGCCTTAGTTCTCATCGTTTAACACCTGAATAAATCAGGCACCTATGTTGCTCTTGCTTACTAGCTCAGGGCAACATTACAAAGGCCCATTTGCAGACCTGTCTTTCTCTCATAATGTATGGAGCAAGGAAAACCAAGAAAAGAGAGGTTAAGAGAAAAGAGTAAAAGAAAACAAAACACAAAATACTGCAGATGCTGGAAATCTGAATCAAAAAAAGAGAGAGCTGGGAAAACTCAGCAGGTCAGGCAGCATCTATGGAGAAAGGAAAGTGAGTCAACGTGTCAGGTCCATGATCCTTCGTCAGAACTGGAGCATGTTGGGAGGGAGAAGTTTCTAAGGACAAGTTGAGAGGGGGAGGCAGGACAAGGAAGATAAAAAAGACAAAAAAGAAGACAAAGGAGAGAATGGATTAGCTGATGGGTTAAAGAGGTGATAGTGGCGTAAAATAAAAGGGCGGGTGGATTTGAAACAAAACTGGGGAGAAGAGGTGTTAATAGTGCAGAACAGGCAACACACCAGAGAGAGACAAAGATTGTCTGGGGTGATGATTGTAATGATAACAGAAGATAACTCTTCTGGTAACAGAAAGAGGTGGGGTAGGGGGAAGCTGAGCTGTTATGGTCTGAAGTGGCTGAAATCGATATTGAGGCCAGATGGCTGTAGAGTCCCTAGCAGATAGATAAGATGCTGTTCCTCAAGCTTTCACTGTGGATCATTGGAGCAGCGTAGGAGACCATGGATGGAGAGGTCGGACTCTGAATGAGAGTGTGTTTAAAATGGTGGGAGACGGGAAGATCAGGATTGACCTTGCACACAGAATGGAGGTGTTCTGCAAATCAGTCACCCAATCTGCGCTTAGTCTCCCCAATATAGAGGAGACCACACCGTGAGCAGCGGTACAGTATACTACATTCGTGGTAGTACATGTAAACCACTATCTTACATGGAAGCTGTGTTTGGGGCCTTGGATAGTGGTCTGGGAGGAGGTGAAAGGGCAGGTTTCATATCTCCTGCGCTGGCATGGGAAGGTGCCAGCGGAAGGAGAGCAGCTGGTAGTGCTGACGGCGGAATGACCTAAGGAATCCCGGAGGGAACAATCCCTTTGGAATTGCGGAGAGGAGAGGGAATTATGTGTTTGGTGGGACGTTCTCCTGACGTGAAAGACACAATACAAGTGCAAGAAATCTTGTTATTTTCTATTTTTTCAGAATGTCCACAAATTTGGCAAATTGTTTATTTTTCCATATTAATTTTGAAACTGGTTTTCTTTCAAGAACTAAAAAAAATTTCAAAGACTGAATTCAATAATTTGCCAAATTCTTGATAATCTGAAATATTAAGTAAATCTAGATTCAGAAGAAATATTTCCCTTTTGATGCTATACTTTATCAATCTAAACAGTGTTGTAAGATTCATTAGTGTGTATGCGTAAGCAATTTGTTTATTGGTCCAATTTTCCTTTTGGACTTACATCATGAAATCTAAATTTCTTCATGAAACCAAGTTACAAGCAAATCCAGATCCATCAAGCACATTCCCCACAGAACACGTGCCAGCAGCCAGACTGTGGATACACCAAATGTACTGAAGCATCTGAGGAAAGCTTCCACCATTGACAAAAGCCTGCAATAAATCTTCTGATCTCTTGGGAAACCTTTGGATTCCACAAAAATACTTGATCATCATTGCTACCCAATCTTTATAACCCATCAAACCAATTCTTAACCACTTATTTATTTAGTTGTTTTTTTAAATTATCTTTTGAAACTAACAAGTACAGTTAAATTAGCAGTGTTGGGTGCCTGGGCCACATACGTAACTGCTGCTCTTTCAATGCTGTTACAGAAAAAGTAAAGTGAGTTTGTATTTATCTGAAGCCATTAGCATAAATCTGTTTATTTATCTAAAAAACAATGGAAAGATATTGTTATAATCAAAGCGGCTTGCAGTTGATTGCCATGAACCTTGTGGTGCACTCTGATCCAGTAAACTATTGAGCTGACAGCCTGAGTGAACAGATCACAAAAGCTGATTCATCCTTAGTCATAAAGAGCTCAGAGTCAGAGTGTGTACAGCTGTATACCGTCTGTGCTGCTTTCTGCTTGATCGCATTGATATAATCCACTCCAGTAAGTGGATCCAGACATCGACAGAACAAGACCAGACTGTAGCGATCAGCACTGCTAACCTCCCACCCAACCCAAAAAAATGCTTTAAACCTGAAACAAGGAAACATTACTTCAGATAATATAAACGATGAGCAAGAATAATAAGTGTTTTTTAGTCAGTCTGTATCATGTTGTCTGTATTGTTCATTTACCATTTGTTTAAGATCGCTTCCTGGCTGTGTTAATAAGGCTGTCAGCTCAGCATTCTCAATAAATATTCTAAGCTATCTCAGGACAGTCTTAAGCTACTTGGAATATTTTCCTCCTGGGAAGTTTCCCCACACAAAGCACCCTTCCATACCAGAGCCCAAGCTGGAGAACTGTTCTACATTTGCAGCAATACAACACAATGACAAGCTGCTGCAAATGATAATGAAAAAGACCAGGGTGAATGGCCTCCTTCCTGTGTAGCCCTCTCCCCACAAATAACAAAAAGGAATTGTCATGTAAGAACCTTCTGCTCTCTGGCATAGTGGGTGACTATGCATTTTGTGTCTGTGGAAGAATTCAAGGGGGTACATTGATGCCTTTATCTTTGTGTCTATATGTATGCATTTGTCTGATTTTGTTTATCTTTAGACCATAATACCATAAGACGTAGGAGCAGAAATAGGCCATTCGGCCCCTCGAGCCTGCCCCGCCATTTAATAAGATCATGTCTGATCTTCTAACCTAATTCCATTTACCCGCCCTATCCCCATAGCCCTTAATCCCTCTATATTTTAGATAATAATAATCCTTGCATTTGATTATAGTGCCTTATCACATCTTTGGAGTCCTGTAGCTCAGTGGTTAGAGCACTCGCTTTGCAA